CTTGCATTCCCCGTGCAGATGGCCTAACGGCCCTCCGCTTCTTCCTGTCCTGTAGGCCCAACCAGTCCCCCTCCACTGACACCCTTATCCGCTTAGCTGAACTCATCCTCACCCTTAACAACTTCTCCTTCAATCCCTCCCACTTCCTACAGACAAAGGGGGTGGCCATGGGTATCTGCATGGGCCAAGGCTATGCCTGCCTCTTTGTAGGATACGTGGAACAATCCCTCTTTCCAAAGCTACACTGGCCCTATACCCCACCTCTATCTCTGTTACTTCGATGACTGCATCGGCACCGCCTCATGCTCCCACGAGGAGCTCGAACAGTTCGTCCACTTCACTAACACCTTCCACCCCAACCTTAAGTTCACCTGGACCATCTCTGATACCTCTCTCTCCTTCCTGGACCTCTCTGTTTCCATCTCTGGCAACCACCTGGAAACCGATATCCATTTCAAGCCTACCGACTCCCACAGCTATCTAGAGTACACCTCCTCCCACTCACCTTCCTGCAAAAAGGCCATCCCCTATTCCCAATTCCTTCGCCTCCGCCGCATCTGCTCCCAGGATGAGGCATTCCACTCCCGGACGTCCCAGATGTCCTCGTTTTTCATGGACCGCAACTTCCCCTCCACAGTGGTCGAAATGCCCTCGACCGTGTCTCTCGCATTTCCTGCAACTCATCCCTCACACCCCCTCCTGGCAATAACAACCAAAACAGAATCCCCCTCGTCCTCACGTACCACCCCACCAACATCCGGATTCAACGCATCATCCTCCGACACTTCCGCCATCTGCAATCCGACCCCACCACTAAAGACATTTTTCCCTCCCCACCCTTATCTGCTTTCCGGAGAGACCACTCTCTCCGTGACTCCCTTCTCCGCTCCACACTCCCCACCAGCCCTACAACCCCCAGCACTTTTCCCTGCAACCGCAGGAAGTGCTACACCTCCCCCCTCATCCCTATCCCAGGCCCTAAGGAGACCTTCCACATCAAACAGATGTTCACCTGCACATATGCTAATGTGGTATACTGTATCCGCTGTTCCCGTTGTGGCCTCCTGTTCATCGGGGAAACCAAGCGGAGGCTTGGGGACTGCTTTGCGGAACACCTACGCTTGGTTCGCAACAAACAACTGCACCTCCCAGTCGTGAACCATTTCAACTCCCCCTCCCACTCCTTGGACGACATGTCCATCCTGGGTCTCCCGCAGTGCCACAACGATGCCACCCGAAGGTTGCAGGAACAGCATCTCCTATTTTGCTTGGGAACCCTGCAGCCCAATGGTATCAATGTGGATTTCACAAGCTTCAAAATCTCCCCTCCCCCGCCCGCATCCCTCACCTGTCCTCCTACCTATCCACTCCTCCCACCTCAAGCCCCACACCCATCTCCTACCTACTAGCCTCATCCCGCCTCCTCGACCTGTCCGTCCTCCCTGCACTGACCTATCCCCTCCCTAACTCCCCACCTACACTCACCTTTACTGGCTCCATCCCCGCCTCCTTGACCTGTCTGTCTCCTCTCCACCTCTCCTCCTTTATCCATCTTCTATCCGCCTCCCCCTTTCTCCCTATTTATTTCAGAATCCCCTTCCCCTCCCCCATTTCTGAAGAAGGGTCGAGACTCGAAATGTCAGCTTTCCTGCTCCTATGATGCTGCTTGGTCTGCTGTGTTCATCCAGCTCTACACCTTGTTATCTCAGATTCTCCAGCACCAGCAGTTCCTACTATCTCTATGGTTTGTCTAGCTCGGTTTATTTTTAGGATCTGACTTGTGCAATGTTACTATAAGCTGGGATCATAACATTTGGCAATTTTTTCATGCAACAAGTCAGGAATTATAAGGTACTGCCTTGTAAGGCGGTGAACAAAGAGTCAGTAGTCACTAACATTATTTCAGGGATGACTTGAAGGGCTGCTTGTCCTTCTCCTATGCTGTGTGATCTTCTGGTAAATCATGCAGAAGAGAGAATAGACACCTTCTTGGAGATATATTGACTGTATTGAAATTAGTAGGAATCATGGAAGAGAATAGGGAGGGAGAAGATATCATGGCCATTGGCACAGTTTGTGATTTTTGGCTCTGGTAGTTTTGATTGTAAGTTAGATTGAGAGGGTTTGAATAGAGAGTCTCATGGTTGTTGTTCAGAGATGGTGATTTGTTCGAGGATCTTTGATAGGAATGTTCAGATGGGACAATATTTGGACATGTGCATGGGCGTGGGGGTGAGGTGAGGTGATGGTTTGGAACTACCAGAGCTCTTGGAGGAGGGATGACAAGGTTGAAAACTTCGATGATGCACCACCCCCTGATTAAAGAAGTTCCTTCTCATCTGAATATAAATGGCCTATCCATTATTCTGAGATCATGTCCCAAGATTCTGGACCAGGGCTTCATAAACTGTGTTCTGACCCTTGGTGAGGTCAGCAGCCAAAACTTTGGGCTCTCAAACTCCAGTGGAGCAATGTTGGCCATGGAGCTCCAATAATGTTCTCTCACGTGTGAAGCTTTTAAAATCCATTTTTTAAAATACTGAACATGGCCTAAGTATTCAGTGTTCTTAGCTGGAATCCTCTTTTGAAAATGTAGTGAGAAGGCAAGCGCTTTCTATTTATTTAACTTTAAAACCCTGTCTATGGCTGAAAAACAGGTTTCTCTCCAACCAGGACCCCCTCCGCATCCTTCTTCGTTACCCTCCATTTCCCTTCCCCATCAAGACATCTGTTCCTAACACCCTCTTGCATCTCTCTCTTCCCCCCGTCTCTTCCCACCCACAACGCCGTCTCTCTTCTCCCCTGTCTCTCATCACCACCCCCCCATCTCTCTTCCCCGTCTCTCCTTCCCCCCGTCTCTCTTCCCGCCGTCTGTCTCCCCCCCCCCCCCCCTCTCCCCCCCCCCCCCCCCGTCTTTTTCTCTCTCTCTCTCTTTTTTCTCTCTCTACTCCCCCTCTCCCCACAGGCATCAACCCCTTCTGACCACCACACAGATGTTTCTCCAGCTGAGTGCAAACACAAACAGATGACATTTGCTCCCTGTCCTTTTCCAAGCAAACCACTTCTGCCATGGGAATGAATCGGCCTATATACTAATGGTTTTGGATGAGATCACCTCTCATTTTTGGAACACCTCCGTTCTGTCCGAACTTCCAGGTGCTTGCCACTTTAACATACCATCATGTTCCCTGGCCGACATTCTGTCTCAGGCCTGCTGCCATGCTTCAGCGGGGCTAGGTGCAAGCTGGAAGTAGTGTCTCATTTTCTACTTGCAGCCTTCAGGACTCCATATCAAGTCCAATAATTTTAGGCCCGAACATTACCTTCTATGTCCTTTTCTCACCTCAGCATCCCACGCCCTGTTGTGACATAGGCTGCCAATGAATTTTCGCCACCTTATAGTCCCCATTATCATGTTTTTTTTACTGTCCTGTCTTACCATTATCCATCCCTTTGCCTGACTGCTTTTCTCTCCCTCTCCATCTATTGCTTACTCCTGTCCTCCCTCACTCTATCTTCAGCATAAATACCACCTGTTTGTAGCTACTATTAGATCTGAAAAACAGTCACTGGATCTGAAATGTTAACTCAGCTTTCTCTCCACAGTTTCAGGTTCTATTTTGAATTTACAGCATCCGTGGTTCTTTGTTCATTACAGTGAATTTTCTTTTGTAACTTGATAATCTGAAATCTGAGCCATGTTGCTTTGTAGTTCAGGCACTGTTCATGATTGACTAAATAGCTTACTTTACTAAAGCACCCCGAGGATGTAGAGCCATCACTGGACTAAATTTCTTATATTTCAGGTAATCTTGACGACACATTTGCTAATAATAGCACCATCTGCCTTTTATTAGCACATGTGGTTTTACATCTGCTCTCTGACAGACACTTCAAATTTGCCTCTGCCAGTTTATGCAAATCTAAAGGGCTGTGGTGAATAATAAGACTTTATGTGTGGGATATAGCCCAACAAGGAAGTGTGTAGTTCATTTCTAAGATAAACTAGTCATACATAACTTAGCTTAGTTTGTAGATTTCGGTGTGATCTTGTGTGTCACACACTACGATCCTTTCTCCTCTCTTACACGCTTTTCTCCAAATCCAACAATGATGATATAAAAAAGTTAACGAATAAACATACAAGTGCAGTTATTCTTCCATGAAGGTATCTCTTTTTGGTCGTACCCAATGCAGCGGTTTATGTGGGCTGTGCACTTCAGTACAATGCGCAAGCACTTATTCTCACCTCTCAGCTTATGGTGATTATCATGATTTTTTTTCCTTTAAATGGCAAAAACAGATTGATATATCCACCATCAATTATTTCTCACCTTGAAAGAAACTTCCGTTCTTCATGACCTGGAATGAATATTGGAGTTTCTTTTTCATGTTAACAGCCTAAAATACAGGGGATAATGTAAGCTTCGAGTATATGTATTAAAGCAAAATGTTAAGCTCTGTAATAAATTTAAAAATAACATCTTCTAAAACAGGTTGAAATAATTTTCTGCACTTAAACATCAACATCAAACTCTTACTTGCATTCAATGAAAAAAACTTGTGTTACAACAAGTTCATAAAGTCACAACTATTTGAAAGATTGAGTTTTCTAGACATTGAAAATGTGCTTTTGTCTTTGTAATAGCCAACAGCCGGCCACTGGCATTGCATACTCTCATCCAACCACAGCTGGCAGCTACACAGTCCACCAGGCCCCGGTAGCTGCACATGCTGTGACAGCAGCCTATGCTCCTGCAGCTGCTGCTACAGCAGCCAGACCTGTTCCTGCTGCTGCTGCTGCTGCAGCTGCTGCAGCTGCTGCCGCCACAGCAGCGTATGGAGGGTATCAAACGGCACATACTGCAGCAGATTATGGATACACACAGCGACAGCAAGAAGCCCCTCCACCACCTCCACCAGTCACATCGCAAAATTATCAGGTATGATTTAACTTTTAAGTAGTTAATTGTTTATTGTTTGGAGCAGGACTTGTTTGAAGTAGAGATTTTTTTTTCTACTATCGCCTCCACACCTCTAAGAAAATGTGCACAGTTGAAGGAGCGGTGATGAACAATATTCATTAACAGTTTTGTAGCAATTTTGAAATAAGTAAATACCTTGTGGGTTTTTTGTATGTCTAAACTGTTGATGTATTCATCATGAGTCTACCAATTTACATTCCAAAGGTTCTACTGCAAAGACACAAAAACGTTTCCATCAAAGAGTAATTTAATAGTTTTAAAATGGAAAATTTTTGAGAAGGTAAATAATTTATCATTGGTTGAAGAAGTGTTGCAAGGGGATCTAAATTTATCTGAAGAACAAAGGATGTGTATAAAATAATTTGTACATTGGTGTGTTATAGTTATATATAGTTGAGCATCAGAACAAGACTATATATTTTAGAGAACTGGTTAAACACTTTAAAAAGACAACTATGCAAAGTAATGAGGAAAGAGTAGGAAGGCTAAATGACTTCAGGTGTAGAACTGGCACTAGTATACCAGTATTTAGATTAGGCCAAATTAGCTCCTGTGATAATTCTTAATGATCCTGATGTTCCCATTACTTCGTGTAAAAAAAAAAAAACTCTCAAATGTAATGATGTTTATTCTGAGTTATAATTATTTTATGCTCCAAATTAAAAACCAGGATCTCTTATCCATTATATTCTCATTTGAACAGCTGCCTTCAATGCACAGTGCAGTTAATTTGTAATTAGTTTTTAATCAAAGGTATTTAATTAACATCACTTTGTATATGTTTTAAATTTGGATCCTGTTTTAGAACAAATAAGTTGATCCTCCATATATTTGAGTTTTGTAATGATGCAATCAAAATTGACCAATAAAAAGAACCTGCAACTGGAGAAGCGTACCTGCATGAAAGTAATAAATGCAAATTCAATTAAGCATATACCTTTCATTTCATATTTCCTCTGTTATCCAAACAATGACTTAGTCTATCCAGCAATTTCAATTGATCATTTATTTTCAATTTAGGATACCTATACATATGTGCGTTCCACAGCACCAGCTATCGCCTATGACAGCAAACAATACTACCAACAACCTGCTGCTGCAGCTCAGCCACAACCTACTGCTGCAGAGGCATATTATCAAGCTGGTGAGTCTAATACTGTTGAGGAACTCCTAATTGAAATAAATTATGGTGTGGTCTGTAACCCACAAATATCAATGCATTAAATGCACAACATGACATGCATTCTGTGGATTTATATTGCACCTAAATTACCAATTACCAAGTATGTTAATTTTGATTGTGTCAGCTAAAAAGTTGTGTACACAAAACTGTATAAAAGTGCAGAGTTGATGAACTATTTAATAACACAAGTGTTTGCTTGAGTGAACAGTAACATTACATACAGAAGGAATATCTGGAGAGTGTACAAGATGGCTGTCTGGATCAATCCATTGAGGAGCCAACTAGATGACAAGCACCCTAGTTTGGGTCGTGTGTAAGAGAAAGGAATAATTCACAATGTAGCTGTGTGAAGCCCTTTCGGAAGGAGTGACCGTAATGTGATAGAATTCTTCATTAAGGTGAACAGTGACCTTATTGGTTCTGAGACTAAAGCCTCGAATCTAAATAGAGAATGGCACTAGGAGCAAACTGGCTATCATAAATTGGGAAGCGTTATTTAAAGGGATGACGATAAATGGACGGACAACGGCAAACATTCAAAGAGTGCAAAGAGGAATGGCAATGATCATTCCTGTCTGGCACAAAAACAAAAGGGGAAAGGTGTCCCGGCCATGGCTAACAAATGAAGTTGGGGATACAATGAGCTCCAAGGAAGGAGCATACAAATTGACCAAAAACAGCAGCAGACCTGAGGGTTGGGAGCAGTTTGTCCTCTTTCATTGAAATCTAAAGGAATTGATTTAAGAAAGGAGGGTAACAGATTATGAGAGTAAGCTTGTGGGGAACATACAAACTGATTGTTAAAACATGTGAGGAGAAAAAGATTAGTGAAGACAAATGTAGGTTCCTTTATAATCAAGGGAAAACAGATGGCAAACCAATTAAATGCATATTTTGGTTTTGCCTTCACAAAGGAATATTCACGTTACGTCTCAAAAAATATTGGCGAGCATACAGTATAGTGAGAGAGGAACGGAAGAAAATCAGAATATACAGGGAAATAATAGAACAGTACAGCAAGATACAGGCCTTTCGGCCCACGATGTTGTGCCGACCTATTATCCTACTCAGATCAATCATTTTACTATCCTCCATGTGCCTATCCAAGAGTCGCTTAAAAGTCTCTAAAGTATCTGACTCCACTACCAATGCCGGCAGTGCATTCCACGCGCCCACCACTCTGTGTAAAGAACTTGCCTCTGGCATCTCCCCATACCTTCCTCCACTCACCTTAAAATTATGCCCCATCGTAATAGTCATTTCCGTCCTGGGAAAAAGTCTGTGACTATCCACTCTATCTATGCCTCTCATCATCTTGTATGTTTAGTTGAGGGAACTGATGGGATTGAAGGCCAATGAATCTCCAGGGTCTGATAGTCTGTATCCTGGAGTATTTAAGGAAGTGGATCTGGAAATAGTGGATGTGTTGGTGGTCATCTTCCAAGCTTCTATGGACTCGAGAACAGTTCCTGTGGATTGGAGGATAACTTATTCCCTATTTTTGTGTTCTGTTTTCTACGTTTGAGTGAATTGGGCTGATATTACCTCGTATGCAGTTACATTACTTTTTCCTTATTATTTTAAAAACCATGTCGTGTTTAGGCAATTTAGGCTTTTCTGATGCTTTCAGCCAGGAGAGCAGGCTTCCAAACTTTTCCCAATTGCTGGCCTGTAATAAGTTAGTTAGATGTGAGTGGCAGTGGATTAAAATCCTCTTGTTTATTTCTGATGCCACAATAACAAAATACATGTATGCATCTAATTCTGGCATGTTGAGCGTCCCTGATTTTAATGGCTTCACCGTCGGTGGCTGTGCCTTCAACAACCTCTCTGCCTCGCTACCTCTCACCTATTTACTCGATGGGCCAAAAGGCCTAATTTCTGCTCCTATGCCTTATGGTCTTATTTTTTTAAGGTGCCCCTTAAATTCTACCTTTATAACCAAGTTTTTGACCATCTGCCCTAATATCACCGTGTGATTTTTGTGTCTGTGTTTGTTTTATAACACTCCTATTGAAGTGTCTTCAAAGTTTTTATTGCATTAGAAGAAATAATGTAACTAATAAATAAGTAAATTATTGTTTGTTTAAGTGTATTGATCAGGGTGCTATAGTTGAAGTGGTATTTGGATATGTAAGGCATATATAATACTTAAAAGCTTTGAAGCAACACTGACAAGTCTTCTTCTGATAGCATTCTTTTAAATCTTTTCTTAAAATTTCAGTAATTAATATTTCTGTTACAGCTGCAAAAGCAGGATATAGTCAAGCTGCAACACAATACACACAAGCTCAACAGACTCGACAAGTGACAGCGATAAAACCAGCTACACCAAACCCAACTACTACCTTTACTGTTTACCCAGTGTCCACAACAGTGCAACCGGCTGCTGCAGCAGCTGCTACTGTAGTTCCATCCTACACTCAGAGTGGTACATACAGCTCAACTGCTGTGACTTATACTGGTAAGAAGTGAAGTATTCCAATTTTTACATTTTGGATTTTTTGTACTGTACAAATATTCATGAAAGATTTTTACTCCATTTTTCCCCGTTATGATTAAATGTTATTCCATTTGCCTTCCTAGTCAGTTGTCATACCTACTTGTTATGATTCATGTTAATTTTATTTTCAGGGCATGGTATGTGGGCATTGTAGACCAGGCCAGCATTCTGCAGCCTTAGTTGCCCTTGAGAAGGTGGTGGTGAGCCAGTTGCTTGACTTACTGTGGTACACTGGGTGTTGTTAAGAAGGGCGTTTCAGAGTTTTGACCGGAGACGGTGAAGGAACAGTGATTATAGTTCCAATTTAAATCTGAGAGAGACAATTTTTGTTTTTATTAAGCAAGGGCATCCAGACTATGGGCCCAAGGCAGGTATATGGAGTTAGGCCACAGATCAGCTGTGATCTTATTGAATGACGGAGCATGCTCGAGCAGCTGAATGGCCTACTCGTGTTCCTACTTTGCTCATTCAGGTTGGGTCAGGATGATGTATGGCTTGGCATGAAATTCATAGATAGTGATTTTCCCACACGTCTGCTGTTCTTGACCTTCTACCTGGTAAAGGTGGTTGGATTAGAAGGTGTGTCAAGGGATCCTTGGTGAAATGCTGCAGTGCATCTTGTAGATGCTGAAGCAACCTGTGCTAAATGCAGTAAAATCTGGATCGCATCCAAGCTGGGGCTAATAAGTGGCCAGTAATGTTCACACAATACAGGTTCCAGGCAATGATCATTACCAGGAAGCGAGAATCTGATCATCTCCTCATGATATTCACTGGCATTAACATTCCAGAATCGTCTTCTGCTATCAACATCCTGGGGGTTACAGTTGATCAGAAACCAACCAGGTGAACCATATAAATACTGTGGCGACAAGACAGGCAGAGGCTTGGAATTCGACAGCAAGTATCTCAACACCTGAATCCTCACAGAACGTCCACCACCTGCAAGGCTCAAGTCAGGAGTGTGATGAAATCCTTTATCTGGCAAGAACACTCAAGAAACTTGACACTGTCCAGGGCAAATGCAGAACATTGGTCTGGCAGCATCTGTGGAGAGAGAAAAAGAGTTGACAGTTTGAGTCTGAGATGACTGTTCTTCAGATCCTTCAAAAATGTCATCTGTAAAGACAGCTAGTGATGAGCAATGAATACTGTCATAACCAGCAATCATTACACCTTATGAGCAAATCACCTAGCACAGTGCTGCCAGGAGTGGATGTTTAAAGTGATTGATATGGTGCAAATCAAATAGACTGTGTTTTTGTCCTGGATGGTGCAGAGCTTTGACTGTTGTTGGAGCTGCAATCACTGAAGCTACTGGAGACTATTCTGACACACACCTGACTTATGCCTTTTAGATGGTGGAAAGGCTTTGACGATTCAGAAGGTGAGTTACTTGCCACAGAACTTGCCCCCTAACTTTCTCTTCTAGAGACAGCATGATATGGCAGGTGTAGTTCAGGATTTTGACAAGAGGGATTTGATGATGGTAATACGATTGAATGTCAAGAAAAAATATTTGAATTCTCTTTGTTTTTGGAGGTGGTTATTGCACAGACCAAATTCAAGTTGCCACAACAGCCTGACCTGAATGTAGAGCTGGAGGTGCACAGCAGGTCAGGCAACATCACAGGAGTAGGAAAGTTTGATGTTTTGGGTTGGGACCCTTCTTCAGAAAGGTCATTTCTGAAGAAGGGCCCCGACTCGAAAGGTCAACTTTCCTACTGCTCCGATGCTGCCTGACCTGCTGTGTTCCTCCAGCTCCACACTGTGTTGTCTCTGACTCCAGCATCTGCAGTTCTTGCTATCTCAGCCAGACCTAAATATCGTCCAAGTCTTGGTGCATGTATCACTGTATGTCCCCAAATCTGGCCTTATGGAGATAAGATCGTTCATAAAGCAGCTTGAGATGATTATGTCTAGGATAGTACCTTAAGTACTTAGAGTGAATTCCTAGGGTGGTGGTGACTTATCTCCAACAACCATAACCATTTCCTTTTGTATTAAGTATACCTTCAACCAGTTGAGTTTTCTCCAGATTGTCTGACTGACACTACCTCATTTAACACTATGATAGTACCACGCAACATTTGATTTGAACTATTGAAATGAACCTGTTAAATTCCCACTTTGATCCAAATTCCCAGATACTCATGCTGTCTTTTTTTTTTCTCTTCCTCACTCTGACCATGCAGCTAGCTTGTTTTTGCAATTTGTTATTTTCTAGGAGCTACGTATGCTGGATATGAAGCTGCAGTGTATTCTGCTGCATCTTCCTATTACCAACAGCAGCAGCAGCAGCAGCAACAGCAACAAAAACAAGCAGCAGCTTGGGCTGGGACCACTTTCACTAAGAAAGTGCCATTTCAAAATAAACAGAAGCCAAAGCAGCCACCTAAGCAACCTCAGATCCATTACTGTGACGTTTGCAAGATCAGTTGTGCTGGACCACAGGTAAGAATGTGTTATGTTTGGATTTATTTATTTTATTTTGTTACGTTGCAGTTTATTTTCCAATTTTGCTGGTGGTAATGTTCCCATGTATTTGCTGCCGTTATCCTTCTAGATGGAAGTGGTCATGGGTTGGAAGGTGTTATCTGAGGAACTTTGGTGAATTTCTGCAGTGCATCTTCTAGATCTTGTGCTGAGTGTTGGTGGTGGAGGGAATGGATGCTTGTGGATGTTGTGGTCACCAAGCCAGCTGCTTTGCTCTGGATGGTGTCAAGCTTCTTGAGTGTTGTTGGGGCTGTACTCATCCAGGCAAGCGGGGAGTATTCCATCACACTCCTGACTTGTGCCTTGTAGATGGTGGACAGGCTTTGGGCAGTCAGGAGGTGTTATTCACAGCAGTATTCCTAGCCTTTGACCTGCTCTTGCAGCCACTGTGTTTATGTGGCGAGTCCAATTGAGTTTCTGGTCAATGAGAACCCCTATGATGTTGGCAATAGGGGTTTCAGTGATGGTAGCACCATTGAATGTCAAGGGGCGGTGGTTAGATTGACCCTTTTTGGTGATGGTGATAGCCTAGCATTTGTGTGGCATGAATGTTACTTGCCACTTGTCAGCCCAAGCCTGGATATTGTCCAGATTTTGCTGCATTTGGACACGGACTGCTTTCATACCTCAGGCATTGCGAATGGTGGTGAACATTGTGCAATCATCGGCGAACATCCCCACTTTTGATCTCCTGATGGAGGGAAGGTCATTGAAACAGCTAAAGGTGGTTGGGCCTCGGACACGACTTTGGGGAACTCCTGTGGAGATGTCCTGGATCTGAGATGACTGACCTCCAACAACCACGACAATCTTCCTATGTGTCAGTTTGACTGCAACCACCAGAAAGTTTTCCCCCAATACCCATTGATCCTAGTTTTGCTAGGGCTCCTTGATGCTACACTCAGTCGAATGCAGTCTTGATGTCAAGGGCTGTAACTCTCACCCCAACTCCAGAATTCAGCTGTTTTGTCCATGTTTGAACCAAGGCTGCAATGAGGTCAAGAGCTGAGTGGCCCTGGTGGAACCTGAACTGGGCGTCACTGCAGGTTATTGCTGAGTAGGTGTTGCTTGATAGCACTGTTGATGATACCTTCCATCACTTTACTGATGATCGACAGTAGTCTGATGGGGTGGTAATTGGCCGGATTGGATTTGTCCTGTTTTTTTGTATACAGGACATACTTGGGCAATTTTCCACATTGTCAGGTGGTTGCCAGTGTTGTAACTGCACTGGAACAGCTTGGCTTAGGGGAGTGGCAAGTTCTGGAACACAAGTCTTCAGTACTATTGCCGGATTGTTGTCAGGCACCAAAGCCTTTTCAGTATTCAGTGCCTCCAACCGTTTCTCGATATCACGTGGAGTGAATCGAATTGGCTGAAGAATGGTACCCGTAATGCTGGGGACCAGTGTAGGAGGCTGAGATACATCATCATCCACTCAGCACTTCTGACTGAAGATTGCTGCGAAAGCTGCAGCCTTACCTTTTGAACTGATGTGCTGGGTTCTTCCAAAATTGAAGATGGGGATATTTGTGGAACCCTCTCCTCAGTGAGTTGTTTAATTGTCCATCACCATTCATGACTGGATGTGGCAGGACAGCACATCTTAGATCTGATCCACTGGTTGTTGGATCGCTTAGCTCTGCTGCTTAAGTTGTTCATTATGCAAGTAGTCCTGTTTGGTGGCTTCACCAGGTTGATACCTCATCAGTATGCCTGTTGCTGTTCCTACCATGCCCTCCTGCGCACTCCACTGAACCAATGATCCCCTGGCTTGATGGTAGTGGTTGAGTGGGGGATGTGCTGGGCCATGAGGTTACAAAATTGTGCTACTGCTGTTGATGGCCCACAGCGCCTCATGGATGCCCAGTCTTGAATTGCTAGACCTGTTTGAAGTATGTCCCATTTAGCATGGTGGTAGTGCCATGCAACCCGATGGAGGTTATTTTCACTGTGAAGGCAGGCCTTCATCTCCAAAAGGACTGTGCGATGGTCACTTTTACTGATACGCTCATGGATAGATGCATCTGCAGCTGTCATATTGGTAAGGATGAGGTCAAGTATGCTTTTCCCTCTTGTTGGTTCTGTCACCACCTGCCGCAGGCCCAGTCGAGCAGCTGTGTCCTTTAGGACCCGACCAGCTCAGTCTGTAGTACTGCTGCTGAACCACTCTTGGTGGTGGACCTGGAAATCGCCCACCCAGAGTACATTTTGTGTCCTTACAATTCTCAGTGCTTCCTCCACGTGTTGCTCAACATGGAGGAGTACTGATTCATCAGCTGAGGGAGTATGGTACATGATAATCAGCAGGAGGCTTCCTTGCTTAACCTGAAGGCATGAGACTTCGTGGGGTCCGGAATCAATGTTGAGGGCTCCCAGAGCAACTCCCTCCTGACTGTATACCATTGTGCCGCCATCTCTGCTGGATCTGGTGAGACAGTCATATCCAGGCATGGCGATGGTAGTGTCTGTGACACTATTTGTAAGGTATGATTCTGTGAATATGTCTGTCTATGCCAGGCTGTTGCTTGACTGGTCTGAGACAGCTGTCCCAATTTTGGCTGTAGCCCCTAGATGTTCGTGAGGAGGACTTTGCAGGGTCAACATGGCTGTTTCAGCTGTTGTCTTTTCCAGTGCCCAGGTTGATGCCTGGTGATCCGCCCAGTTTCATTTCTTTCAGACTTTGTAGCGATTGATACAACTGAATAGCTTACTAGGCCATTTCACAGGACAATTGACAGTCAGCTGTATTGCTGTGGATCTGGAGTCACATGTAGGCCAGACCAGTTGAGGATGGCAGATTTCCTTCCCTGAAGGACATTAGTGAACTGGGTGGGTGTTTCTGACAATTGACAATGGTTTCATGGTCGTCAGTAGATTTTGAATTCTGGTTTTTATTAAACTCAAATTCCAACATATGTCTTGGCAAGATTTGAACCTAGGTCTCCAGAAGATTACCTGGGTTTCTGGATCAATAGTCTAGCGATAATACCACTAGGCCATCGCCTTCCCAACCTTTTATAATCTTAAAGTTTGAACAAAACTGAAATCATTTTTCTCCTTTCTTAAAAATGCAAGTTTCTGGGGTGTTGGGTTGGTTGAAGCTTTAAGACTGAGGAAGGTAAATATTTGGATATTGGTATTCAAGAGATTATGAAGCACGTTAAAATAAATGGAGTCAAGTTACAGATTAGCTGTGATCTGATTGTGACCAGGTTTGAGGGCATGTAAAGAGTTGAATTTAAGAGAGTTAAAACATTTTACCAGACAATATCAAAATGTTAATAGAGGAGCGGAAGATCTGACAATTTTAAAATAAAACTTATCCCAAAGTAAAGATTTGAGAAAAGTTGTAGTAAGATGCACTTAAAGTTGGATTGAAATTGTTTTGCTATCTCGAGAATGATTTGCTAAATTAGAAACATGCCTAATTTCTGCTAGTTCCCTCTGGTCTTTTTTTAACAGAGCACTATCCATTATAGTTTTGACTTGTGGAAGTATATATATTTTATGCTGCATCATGTGTGTTTTGGCCATGTCACCACTATTTATCTTTCGTCCTGTTAACTAACTGGTCACTTAATTAGGGCAAAATTATTCTAGTATTGCTGAATGTTGTTCAGCATCCTTGATTCTCTGATCCTTTATTTTGTTTCTTGTCATTGCTTTGGTTGCCCTGCCAATGGAGGGTACAGCATGGGTTCACCAATACAATATTGAGGGTGAGACACTGCAGTCAGGGAAGAGATTTGAGGTATTGGAACTACTTCCAGTAGATCGGAGAAGGTTTAACAAGTTACTTGAAGATTGAAAGGTTAATCTGAGATTCCTATATTGGAGTATCTGATAAATCTTCAATAACAAATCTTCTTTGACACATCTTCAATCTGTCAAACGAGGGTCGTGTAGGAATTTTATTATCCTTTACATTCATGATGGGGGAACAATTGAGGCACAAACATTTTATATTTTATGTTTTAAGGTAAAGTTAAACATATACTTAAGCTAGAGTACACAGCAGAGATCTAGGGGAAGGTTATGGGGTAGTGCCATAAATTTTGGATCGGTGACTCACATAGCACAGCTTCTATCAGTTTTTTAAAAAATTGCTAAATGTGCTAATAGTTCTTAGAGGTCTTTTCCCCGGTGTAGACAGCAGTCTTGATGCTGAGTTGGCAGTGTGTACCAGACTTATTTTCTTTAGTACTAAATGAAAGAGATGACCAGTGGTTGAACAATCAAGAGGGAAACAAAATTGTTTCTGCTTCACTAGACTTACAGGGAACATTTGGAAGGACAGAAACACAAGAAGAAGGAAGCTGCTCTGAAAACTACTAACCAAAACAGCAATACTGGAACAGCTCGTGGCATTCAAAATCAACTGCGTTGTGAGCTCTGTGATGTTTCTTGCACTGGAGCTGATGCTTATGCAGCTCATATTCGTGGAGCAAAGCATCAGAAGGTAAATATATTGTTAGCAATTTCAACGTCCTTTTGTTTAAATATTTCCAAATCTGAGAAGTGTTAATATATTTTGTGTAACTCTAATTGAGCCTGAATTGGTTGTCAATTTTTGAGGAAAAAATGCAACCATGCCTTTACTACTCCTAATGATCCACGGACACTGCTTTGCGAAGACCGACTGTCAAATTTAGGACTTTGCAAGATAATTTGTTTTCTTTATTGTTGTAAAATAGTATCTGTTTCCAGAAGCGTGCTTCCCCCCCCCCCCCCCCCCCCCCCCACCCCTACCAGTTTTCTCTTGCTATCACCTTATCCTTCAGTGTCTGAATACTCTAACTGCTTTTCGGACAAGGAGTATGGGATGAGAAAAAAACTGCCACCAACAAAATTATTGGAATAAGGAGAGCCATATCTTCTGTCCCCATCATAAACTCTGTTTTTTAGCCCTAAATCCCATCCCTTTCGAGGCAAGTCTGTTCATACTTGTACTCCAATCAAAATGAGATTCTGATCACACATTGGTGCTCAAGGAGAAGGGCATTTTTTTTTATTATTCATTTATCGGACGTGGGTGTTGCTGGCTGGACAGTATTTTTATTACCCATCCCTAGATGCCCATTGAAAAGGTGCTGGTGAGCTGCCTCCTTGAAACACTGCAGTCCACATGCTGTAGGTTGACCCGCAATGACCGTAGGGAGGGAATTCCAGGATTTTGACCCAGGAACAGTGAAGGAAGAGCATTATGTTTTTGGGTCAGATGGTGAGTGTCTTAGAGGGGAATTGCAGGTGGTAATGTTTCCACATATCTGATGCCCTTGTCCTAGATGGAAGTAGTTGTGGGTTTGGAAGGTTCTGTCTGAGGGTCTTGGATGAATTTCTGCAGTGCATCTTGTAGATAGTACACACTGCTGCTCCTGAGCGTCAGTGGTGGAGGGAGTGGATGCTTGTGGATGTGGTGCCAGTCAAGCTGGCTGCTTTGTCCTGGATGGTGTCAAGCTTTTTGAGTGTTGGAGCTGCACCAATCCAGAGAAGTGGGGAGTATTCCATCACATTTCCACCTTTAATTTTGCTGACTCAACTGTATTTCAACTTATCTGAAACTTTGCTTTCTCGATGCTTGACAATACCTGGCTGTCCTTCCAACATCTGTAAACTTGAAGTCATCTGAAACTGTTTGTTTTTTGTGTCTAATTAGTTTAAAATTTCATTTGGCTTTCACCCCTGTGCTTGCTGGCTTACACTGGCTCGCATTTTTTTTAGAAAGAGTTTCGCCCAGTTATTACGTGCCACTGACGACTCCCCATAGCTGTTACCTCGTACAGCACTCGCGTGTCAATGCTTCTCCAATTCTTTTGGTCATGTGTATTGCCCAAGTGTAATCATTCCACTGCTGACATTTGTGACTTCATGTGCTCTTGCCTTCATTCCTGGAATTTCTTCTTAAGTCGATTTATTTTTCTCCCTTTTCTTTCACCTTTAATTTACCCCATAATACTACTTTTGGCATATGTTCCCCACTCTGCTAATCCCTTATGTAGATCAGGACCAAATGTTGATGCTTCTGTGAACTGCCTTTTAGGGGGGGAGGTGTAAATTGTTTTACTTCTATCAAGGCACATGTGTTTGTAAGTACGAATTGGACTCAATGGGTTGTGAAAACTGGATAACAGAATTTTTTAAAAACTGTTTTGTCAGTAACCAAACTTGCACAAGCTTAACTTGTCAGCAAGCATTGTAACTGACCATGTGATAGACTGAGGTGCAATCAGAAGTTGCAGTATTGTTATTAACTGTTGAGGTTGGGATATTTTGGTCTGGGCTGAGTTAGTAAGATTTTAACAAAACTTTATCAAGTATTGTTGGTAGATTGTCAATCAGTGCAACCGACTTAACAGAAGAAACAAATATTTGCATCTAGGACATTAGATCTGATGGTTTCCATTTATTATCATTACACAGATGATAGTGTGCCATTTTGTACATTTATAGTATGCTCTTTGATTCTTTGCATTTTGTCATCATCAAACCTGTAAAGTCTTTTGAATTTTTTAATTACTAAATTCTGAAAAAACTGTGATAATTGGAAGGGGTAAGAAGTTGACAAATATAACGCATTTAAGTAGTAAATATAGCAATGAACAAAGTTCATGGAATCTCAGAATTTTTACAGAGCAGGGGGCCATTCAGCTGTCACATCTGTACTGGCTCTAAATGAGCAATTCACTGAGCTTCATTCCTGTGTCTTTTGTTCATAGCATTCTTCCTTTTCAGTCTAGTTCCCTTTTGAACAAATAAAATTTGGTTGGGAGACAAGTGAAAGCAAAAGGTAGGTTTCATTGTAGTGATTAGACAATGAGATACATCAGGACCATTCAGCCATTGAGTCTGCATCATCATTCAGTCATGTTTGATTTGTTTTTCAAACCTATTCTCCAGCCTTCTGTCCATAACTTTTCTGATCTCGCTAATCAAGAATTTATTTGTCTCTGTCTTAAATGCACTCAATCACTTGGCCGCCATTGCCTTCTGTGGCAATGAGTTCCACAGATTCAGCATCTTCTGACTGAAAAAGAATTCTCAGTTCTCAAGGGTCGTCCCTTCACTCTGAGGCTGTGCTCTTGGGTTGCAGCCTTTCCAACTAGTGGAAACATTTTCTCCATGTCCACCGTATCTGAGCCCCTCAGTATTCTGTAAGTTCAATGAGAATCCCCCCCTCGTCTTTCTAAACCCCCATCAAGTAGAGACCCAGAGTCCTCCCCCACCCCTCACATGATGAGCCTTTCATCCCTGGGATTATTCTTGTAAACCTAGTCTGGACCCTACAAGACCAGCACATCTTTGGATAAGGGGCCCAAACTGCTGGCAGTATTCCAAATGCGGCCTGATCAGAGCCTTACACAGTTTTAGCAGTACACCCCTGCTCTTGTATTCTCGCCCTCTTGAAATGAGTGTTAACATTGCATTTGCCTTTCTAACTGCCAATTGAACCTGCACGTTAACCATAAGGGAATCCTGATCGAGGACTCCCAAGTCGCTTTGTATTTCAGATTTCTGAAGCCTTTCCCCATTTAGCAAATAGTCTGTGCCTCTGTTCTTTCTACCAAAGTGCATAACCTCACATTGTGCCACATTGTATTCCAACAGCCTCTTCTTTGCCTCCTGTCCAAGCCGATCCAAGTCCTTTCACAGCCTCCCTGCTTCCTCAGCAATATGTGTCTCTACACCCATCTTTGTGTCATCTACAAACTTTGCAACAATGCCCTCAGTTCCTTCTACCAGATCATTAATATATAATGTGAATAGTTATGATCCCAACACTGATCCCTGCCAAACTCCACTGGCTGAAATCCTGAAAAAGACCCCTTTTCTTACCATTCTTTGCCTTCTGTCACTCAGCCAATTCTTTATCCATGCCTGTACCTTGCCCCCAGCATCATGGGCTGTCATCTTAATTAGCGTCTTCTTGTGCAGCACCTTATCGATATCATTCTGGAAATCCAAAAAGATTATATTCGTTGGCTGTCCTTTGTCTAACTTGCTCATTACCTTCTCAAAAAATTCTAACAGAGCTGGCAGGCATGACCTCCCATTGACGAAGCTGTGCTGTCTCAGCCTGGTTTTATTGTACAATTCCAAGTACACCACCATGTCATCCTTTATAATGCACTCTTGTAGGGCTGACCAGTACCTGTCCGTACAACGTGACCCGTATCTGCTTTACACCAAAGTGGCCCATGTTTGAAACATACAAAATGACTGATAAGGACTAAACAAAATGGGGCAGTCTGCTCTAACGTTTAAAGTGAAACATAATAGTACCTTGAAACAAAGCTATCCAAGGCCATACAAAGGCCCTGCAACCGATCATCTGAGACAGTTATGATAAGAGGGTGTCGAGAACAGACAGATGTTGTTAATCAAAGTATGTTGTCTCACTAAAGACATAGCACCAGGGGTGTAAATCATAGCTCATGAACCCATCAGATTAACTCTCTAAACAGCTGCAAAAAAAACAGCTAAAGATGTTTTATAGTAATTAGCATTTTACTCACAGTATTAATAAATAGGCTCTAGTTAAAGAATTATTCAGATAATCACAGAAGTAGGTTTCAATATATAACCAGAATATAATACAAGCAGTAGGGAAAAAGCATTTAAGCCCAGAAATGAAAGTTAATTAGCTTTAGGACACTCCTTATCTTACACCCTGAACAAAAGAGATTGGTCCAACTCATTAGCTACAAAATGCTAGCAGTAAAAGTAGCTGTACAACTTTACACTTTATAACTAACCTTATAATAGGAATTAATCATATAGCAATTGGTTAAAATTAATTGTCTTTTGTTTTTAAATATATATATTTAGGACAGTGGGAAATACAAAAGGAATGATTAAATTTGATAAAGGCAACACACAAAATACCATGAATAACAGAACTCAAACAGCCCTGAGAGACAAGGAAGTCTAGGACAGACCAGAAGGAGTATAACTAATAACTTTAGGAATGTGAATTAATAGGATGCATAGAAAAATCCTAAGGCCCAGGGATTACAATGACCAGTAAACACCATGGTCTCGAGAACCTGGGGCTGTCCATAGGAATGCCCATCATTGATTAGGTGTCCCATGGGTTTGGGTATTTGGATTAAAGGGAGGGACAGTGACTATGTTGTATTTGACTATTGTAACACAAAGTATGGAAAAATGCTGTACTACTTTGTAAAATCAGAGTGTGTCATTGATCTCCCTTTCGATTCGGAAGATTCTTTGGCCCTCTCCCTGTATCAACCGTTTTTTTTTGCTTGAATAAACGTCTTCCACTTGCCTGAATCTTGCCTGTCTACTGAGGTTTTGTCCCCAGTTGGGGGGTTCGCACCGACAACTCTCAAATCTAACCAATGGCTGAGGTTAGGCTAACTGGCCTAAGATTTCCTCTTAACTGTCTTCTGTCTCCTTCCCTTCTTAAACGGGGGTGTTAGCCAATTTCCATTTCTCTAG